GACAGAGGAAGCAGGCAAGGCAAATATGCTTGCGATAAGCAGGTAAATGGGAATTTATGCACAGATAGCTAATTGGTGTGTCTAATATTCCACCCCCTGAGTACCGGCACTGTATTACTGCCTTCACAAATCACTCAAGGCAAGCCTAGTGCGGTAACAACCAAGCCAGGAGAGCTGTGAAAAGGAGTCAAGCTGGAATTAAGAGTGGGTTTTATCGGGGCAATAAATGCCAGATAGAGAAAATAACAAACAGGTTGTTAATTGCTGCCGTCTCCCTGCTCCCTGAAGGAAATGTCTAGACAGAGCCTGGCCCCGGGTGGCACCTACCCCAGCCCTTGCAGTCGGGTTATTGAGCCGGGTTTTGGGGGCCAGAGAGGTGCTGGATGCGGGGTGCTGTGCCCCGAGGAAGGCTGCCGAGCCGAAGCCCATGCCAGGGACAAAGGGAGGCAGGATGGGTGCTGCGGCTCTCCCCAGCTCTGCCCTAAATCAGCGATGCTCCCGCAGAGGTAGAAGCCAGACAGTCTGCAGCGCCTATTAATAATTCAATCCCAATTTGTCCCATCTAGGAGGGCGTGAAGACCGGCCAAGCCTCCCCTCCTCGCAGGCAGGGTTTGAGATATTGCCCTGAGCAGGCAGAGCCTCCCACCCCTCCCCGGTGCTGGATGCAGCCATCCATCCCGCGCCGGCAGGGTGGGGAGCTGGAAATGCCTCCCTCTCCTTCGCTGCGGGGTGCGGAGCGCTCGGATAGCCTTGGCAGAGGGTTGCATCAGCCATTCCTCCTCTCCCTTCGGCTCTGGGGTTCAGTTACCGGCATCGATCACTTGGGGAGTTTTGCTTTGTGTTTCTTGGTGCATCTCGGCTGGATGCAATTAGGGCCAGATCCTGCTTTCTGCTGTGCCGGTGGGAGCGTAAAATAACCCGTGGCGAGTCAACCCAGGTGAGGGGCTCGCGCTCATGCAAGCCTGGTTTTCACACGTGGGGTGGTTGGAGTGAAAAGCTCCTTTTCCTCGCCTTGTCCGGCCATCCCTTCCCAGGACAAAGAGCATCCCGATGCTCCCTGAGCCAGCTCCAGAGCCGGGCTTGGGGGGGAGAGCAAAGCACCAAATCTTTAACGCCCTGCATATGCTCCCTCTGAATTTTTCCTGAAGTATTTTCTTGCAGCTAGTGTATGTTTTAATCGAGTTTTGCCATTTGAAAAATACATGAACCTCTGTAATGGAGGGGGAAAACAGTCCTCCTACAGGAAGATAAAGATGCATTTTAAAAAAAAAAAACAAAACCCAAACAAAAAGCTGCCTGATTACATATTGACCTGAGAGACAAAGTGAGTCTGATGGAGCCAGCCTGGTCCCTTAGGAAAACTTGAGGCCGTTCATCATGTCCCAGGATGAGCTCACTGCCTGGTTAACCCCATCTTCGCCACCCGTGCGTGCCCGCGAGCCGGCAGCGCTCAGCCGCCCGAGTGAAGCCTTTGGTGAAAACGGCCCGTGGCAGGTTTGCATGTTTGCCGTGAAAATATGGACCGCAGGGTTTTCTCCTTTTATACGGTAAGAGACGTTTTAAAAGCTGCGGAGAAGAAGGTCTTAATAATAGTTTTGATCATTTTCTTTTGATCTCAGCTTTCTTACTTCATTTCTAAGCTCTGGACAGTTAGATCAGTCTGTCCGTCACTCCTGCCCCTCCAGCTGAGCTAAGAAATGGAAAACAAGTGGGAGAAGACAACGAACCCCTTTGTAGTTATGAGGAGCTTGGGGTTTTTTCAGCTCCCTTGCAGGAGGGTTGATTTGTAGGTGTACAGGCAATAGAGGAAAGATTAAGACCTAATAGTCCTGTTGAAATCAGCTCGGTACTGAGCGAAGGGTTTAGGGCTGGCTGCAATCTCTGATGTGCGCTCCTGAGTCGGGACTATCTGGAGAGCTCAGGAGAGGTTTCCATCAGCTCTCGGCACGGGATGGAGGAGGGCTGGGGATCTCCATCCCTGCAGCAGCATCCCAACAATAAAGCCTAAATCCTACTGAGGTGGGAATCCCTCGACCAAGCTTTGAGTTCACAGGGATGTGGGAGAAGCAAGGAGTTTGCTTGCAAAAAGAACAGAAATCTCCCAGCAAGAGCTGCCATGTAAATTCTGGAAAACAGACCTTTTCTGGAAATCTTGCCCATATGATGCTTTTTTGCACGCAAACTACGAGTAACATGGATTTTCCCCTGTGTCCAGCACATAGCTTCCTTTGGCCCCAAACGTACTTTTGCTCAGCATCTGCCACCTCTTTTTTATTGAAGAAGAGCCTGTTCTTCATACAGGAATGGAAGACAAAAAGGAACAAGGGCGGTGAGTCCCTCGCCCAGTTCCAGCTCCCCCTTTGCACTACCTCTGCGCTCGGAGAAAGTTGGATGGAGGTGAAAGATTCAGAAAAGAAACAGGTTTCCCTGCAATTACAGGCATCATGCTTACGACTCCTGAACAGACCCGGCTTCGTTCAGAGATGTTTCTGGTGGTCCATAAACTTGCTGTAATTTCAAGCCTAATTTTTAAGCAGTTTATTCCACTTGTTCTCCTGTCAAAGCGGTCCATTAACCTAAACACCGCTCAAGCCTTGCCTGGTTTTAATTTTGCTTCGTTTCTTCCCAAAACCATCAGGTGCCACAGATTTTGCTGAGAGCTCACCCCTTTTTTGGCTAAACCGGCCCTGAACATTGGATTTGCCGCAGAAGCCCCGGCGTCAGGTCCTTGCTCATGCAAAGCCAGGCCAGAGTCGCTTGCATTCCTGAAAAGCCAAGTTCTTCCTTGCAAATCAGTTTATTCCAGCTTCTTATAGATTAGCTGGAGCTGACAAACTTGGCATTACGAGCCACTCGCAGGTATTGTCCCTTCCCTTGTCAGTTCTGGCCAAATCACAAGAGACCTGCAAAGATTTACAGAAATCTGTTTGGTTGCGATTTTTCCCTGCCTCCCACCAGCTCTTCTTGCCAGTTTGACCACTTGCCTGGTCATCCTCTGAGAAGAGTGAGTCAGCTTGGCAAAAAAATTTCAGAAATAAAATATTCCAAGCCAGTCCCAGCATGGACTCTCCACCCTGACCCAAAACGGACCCTTGGGTCTCGGATGCTATAAACCATCACCCCTCTGGCTCTTCCCAATCCCACCCTTGCTCAAACACCCTCCCCCAGTTCAGCATGGATGGTGACGTGCACTAAAGTGTGATTTAGAGGTTAGAACCATCCTCAAAAGTCCCTCTGCCCTTGGGTGTGCTGATGTTCAGAGAGCTCTGGCCGTCTCCGTCACCCCGGGATGCGTCGCTCCTTCTCCCCTGCCCCTCCATCGACGGCAGAAGAAACCCAGACGAGCACCTTCCAGCAGATGTGCAACTTTTAATCAGCTCAGATAAGACGAGAGGGGCACCGTGCTCTTGCAAACAACAGCTTTTGTCCGGCGGGCTCATTATGGGATGGAGGACGCCATGGGAGGTGATGAAGGAGCGATGCAAGAGGGTCTGTTTGATTCCTCCCACCTCTGAGCATCCCCAGCCCCCTCCTCCCGCTGTGATGACTCCATAGGGAAGGATCCAGCCCTATTTTGACTGTGGTTTCCAGGATGGCATCTCTGTCCAGGAAAGATGGATGGCAGCGCTTACAGCAGGAGGAGCAGAGTGATTAGATGGGGCCTCGTCTATGTGTCGTGGAGAAAGACCCGCTTTACAAGGAAATAAACTCAAGCAATTAACTGGGGAATTAAGATTTAGTGCACGCTACAAGCAGCAGGCATGTATAAAGGAGACAGCTGTTAAATTTAGTATGTGACAAAGTCATGCGAGCACTAACCGGATTACTTGCATTTATTTGGGAATACTTATGTATTTTATTATGCAACGTATAGATCACCATAATTCTGCTTTTCACTCCGACGGCGCCTCTCCTCCAAGCATCTTAAAGAGCATTACAAACAATTAAGCCTGCCTGCGCCTCTGCGCAGCGCTCGACGTTGTATCCGCTTTGTGGGTATTGAGTATATTTTAGATCGGAGGTGGCTTAATTAATGCGATTGATTTTTAACTCTTTCTGCGCCAAAGCCCCTAGTTGCTGTTCTTCCTGGGCTGATGGGGAAGTCCACAGGGATGGACGAGTCCAGAAGTCATTAGAGCGAGTTTTCCAGGGATGGAAATCCATCCGTCCCCCAGGGGTGGTGATTGAGAGGCAATGAATGCTGGAGAGGGGAGCGTGGCTTGGGTAGTGGCTCCACGAATGCTCTTCCAGCATAACCTCCTGCTCCGCAGACACCTTCGTGCGTCCCCAGGACCCTTGGAAGTGGCACAAGCTGCTCTTCA